GCTCTCTGAGCCTCCCTCGCTGCTCGATGCGGCGTCGGACTCTGTCCCCGCATCGTTCCTCCTCTCCTCTACGTTGCCGTTGCCGGCGGTTTTGGTTTTTTTTTTGTTTTGGTTTTCCATTTTTTGTACCCACGAGTATGGGGGAATTAAAGGTCCACCTTGGCAGAGACCCCTTACCAAGGTAAGCAGATTTAGAGGATTTATTACTCGCCAGGGGGTCTGCAGGTACCCTGGCGAGGAGCGCACTAACGACTTATTTGTTCATAGAACCCCGTCAGCCATCCATCCCCTCGCGGTGCGTCGCCGCTTGAGATTTGGGGTAACTTTTTATAGAGGTTTTCTCCCTCGCGGTCCGGGCGGTTAAGCCAAGACCCTCGGTCCCTATCAAAGCCGCGAGACGTGATCCACGACACTTCGATACTGGGATTACGAGACCGGCGGTGACAGCAAAGGATGAATCCTTCACTGTCTGCCCGGAGGCAGGGTAAGTGCACACCGAGCCCGCCCTCACTCCTCTGCTATGCCCTCTGCTGATCAGAGGGTCACGCAGTGGAACGCACCGTTGGTCCGGGACGGACCCCCCCATGTCAGAATAATTAGCCGCAGCAGTACCATTCCCCAAGGAGTAAGAATTTCTTCTCATTTCTCGAGGAAGATTACTGCCGCGCCAGGGTGCACCGGCCCAGTATCTGCTCTTCCCTCCAGACGTATCGAGAGGGACCCGCAACTACCAGGCACACGTGGAGGACTTCTGACTTCGCACCCCAAGAAATCCTACCCTGAGTAGATGACTATAGTACAAGTCGGTTAGTCAAATAGAAGAACAACTATTAGAAGTGTTGGTATCGAAAGCATCAATTTATGTTTGTACACGAATAAGATGCTCCCTCGTTTTTCTCATTAAACTTATAGTTTTACTTTCTTCTGTTTCGAAACCTTCATTTTATTTGCGTTCACTTTTATTTTCCTTTATTTTAAAGAACTTCATTTGCAACTCGTCCGCCGATACATTCTGACGACTACGCAAACTCATGATCAAGTATATAAAATACTAGCTTTTACCCGCGGCTCCACTCGCATTTTTTATTACTGAAATTATTTCAACTAAAAATTGTGGAAAGCTCTACTGTAATACACTTCTAGAGATTACATTAAATTATTTGATTTTTCAATTCATTTGCTCAGCAATACTTTGCAGATTTTAGACATACGTGAACTCCCTATTTTCAAGGTTTGAATTTCCCGAGATTTTTGTTAATTGTCATTGAAAATGGAAACTTATAATGGGAATTATAATCCATTAAATTAAAATATAAATTGGTTGCTTGTTATAAAAGTAACAGCACAGTCTTCTCTTAGGTTTTACCGATAAAATTGTGGCGTCTTATGCAAGATATCTTAATTACGAGTAATCGGGCTACATACAGCTATTCTATTTATATCTATTGTAGTCAACGTAAGTCTTTTGCTTCTTTTAGAAATTTTATTTCTGAAGAGGAAATACGATCAAACCTTAAAACTCAGATCACACAGAGGTGGTAAAGCGGGAAAAGTGGTCCAGAAGCGGACCTACGGTGCGTAGCACACAAAAGTCCCGCCCAAAGTCCGCAACCAAAGAACTGTCGGCGACCAGTTTGTCAGCAAAAGCAGCCACGTTTTGTTTTTGTTTTGATCAGTTGCTTTGACTACAAAGGAAAACAGGGCCCGCGCCCGCAAACTCCGAGTGGTCAGCCTAGCGTCCACCTATTTGTCATAGCATTCACCCCGGTAGCGGCACCAGACCGCAGTAGTCCTGACCGATCTCTGTGTGACATAATATAAAACTCTAACTGCAAAGTTTCCTGCTCCCCGCACCTTTACCAGACCGCCTCAGTGTAGCATGAACTTTAATTATATAGATACATTAAAAAACTTTTATGTGCTAATTATAATGTACATACCTCAATCTTTTTTGCGATTTTTAGCATTACGGATTTTTAGTTATATAGAAACATTAAAATACTTTTATGTGCAAATTATAATTTACATACCGCAATCTTTTTGCGATTTTTAGCATTATAGATTTAACAATACTGCCATTTTGGTATAGACTAAAACTTTTATTTACAAAAATATAGCCTATGCCCTATTTTGGGCTGTAATATGTTATTGGCAAGTATCATCGAAATCCATTCGGTATGTTTTGCGTGATTGAGCCATAATCATACAAACATCCAAACATAATGTATGAAATGAAATATATAAAATAAAAACAATAATTTCTTGTTCAATGTTTAACCAGACCTTTAATTGACCAGACTGGTGATGATGTGCTGTATTCAAAGTGTCTGTCACTGCCTATTGTATTTCACTTACTTTTAAAGAAAATCTATCCATCTTAGACAAGGTTTATGTTCAGCAGAAGATTGTTGAATTCTGATAACGGTGACTAATGCTCTACCAAAATAGTTTTTCAGATAAATAAAAATTGTGTAAAAATGTCGTACTAAATATGACACTGATTCTTTATTATCGTTATGGTTATCAAACTAATCTTATCGTCGTATGTGTGAAAAGAAACGGAATTACAAATTTATAGAAGTTCGTGACTTCTAGTACAAATTCTGGATAGTTAAAACTATACTTGGGAGAAAATTTTCAGTTTCCTCTGTTTATTTTTTTCTTAGTATAATATGTTCATTTGTTTTCATTTTCTTCTAAAACCCGGTTGCAAATAAATTTATAACTATGCTAGATGAAATATTTTACAAACTTCAAGCATTAACATTTATAGCCACACGATTTTAAGTCGTTTTAAGTTAATACAAACTTGTTAAGAATAATGATAGATGTAATTAAAATAAATATACTTCAACATCAATTCCTAGGAAACATTTATTTGTTCACAGGAATCAAGAAAAAAGACAATTAACACAGATGAAGAATGGAGATTGGGAATACGTATTGGTAATACATTTTTATTTTAAAAGTCAAAGTCAAAACATTTTAGTAAATTTAAGCTTGTTCGTACTGGTACAACACATACCCTCAGCAGCTTGGCGGCTTCCTGCAAGTTATACGGGGCATTTTGCGGGCGGGCGACCAACAGAAATTAGAATTCTTATTAACGTCAAATGTACACCGTTTCGGCAAACAAGACCCAGAGAAGAACAGGCAAGAAACTTTGGTGCATATATTATTATAATATATAATAGAAAAATTTGGGGACTTTTATCCAAATCCACGTGGTATTCGGTAATCATGACATCCTATTTTAACTGAGCTTTGTCGTGCTGCAGAACCAAGGTGTCCCAAGTGGCAGCTTTGGTTCTGCACAGCATCTGCTAGACACCTTCAAGCTGAAAACATCCTGCACTTCGTGTTAGAACAAAGCCAATGCCGCATAGAGGATCCATATATCAATCCTACGTACTCCAGGTTCCTGCAAAACACAAAGAGATATTCCTCGCTCCCGATTACTGGCCCTCTGGGGTATACTACCCAATACAGGGACGTGCTAAGGAAGAATGTTCCTTAAATATTGCTATGCTGTTCTTAATTTTTAAGTGCTCGATGCTTAAAATGAATATATTTTATTGTATTACAAACAACCATGTGCAAGTACCTCATATCCTTGGTTCGTGGGGTTCAGAGTAGCTCAAATAGCATTCGGAGTCTATTTTTTGAGTATTTTATTTTCACCTCCCCCATAGATTGCCACAAATTACGGTCTTAAGCCACCGGCATTCATCGGTCACCAGCGTGCTTCATCAGTTCGTCACTCCGTCCTGATGGTCAATTCATCTTGGGGTCATCCTACACAGCGCTTGCAGTCACTCCGGAAACTTTCTTTCCCATCGGTTGACTGTTCTTGGAGCTATATGACCAGCCCATTGCCACTTTAGATTACTGATCCTCTGGGCTATGTAAGGTACTCTTGTTCTTCTGCGGATATCCTCGTTTCGGATTTAATGCATCAGAGAATTTTTAGCGTAGGCTCATACAGCCAACAGTGAAGGACTACGTTTCAATTTCGTAAGTCATCACTGGCAACACTTTTATCTATCTTGGTTTTGACGATTATCGAACAAGAAGATTTACCGCAGACGACTCCGTGGCGCAGTGGCTTAGCAATGAGTTGCTGCGCTGGGGGGCGCGGGTTCGAATCCCGCACGGAACAAGTATTTGTATGGCCTACAAATGATTGTTCCGGGTCTGGATGTTTGTCCTTGTGAAATTTGTGTTTGTAAACTGCCTCCACGATACAGGAGAAAATCCTAGTGGGGGTAACGTTTTTTAAAGAAAAAAAAATGAAATAAGTTTCCCAAAGGCAGCCCAGTCGAATTGAGTTTGTCGCTTGACGACTTTAAAGTAGGACTTATTTTATCGAACTTTTTGCCCAATTACATATACTCATCAAAAACTTCGAACATAATGTTCCCAACAGCAACCGGAATAGGTGTAACATTAGACGTTAGAAATGATTTCTGTGTTGGCCTAGATTTACCTGCTACTACTACTTACTTACTACTGTAACTGAGGTCGTTGAGCACAGTGCTGGTTTCTGTTATTATTTTTTTTTTATTCGATTTAAATTTTAATAACCATATCAATTCTTAATTAAATACATTAATTTATGAATTTATAATCAATGAATATTTTATGATACTTGGTGTTTGAAATCATCCACATCATCATAACAGCCTATCACAAGTCAACCGCTAAACATAGTCCTCCCCTTTAAATTTATAAGGGGTATATTTGCCATGGGTAGGTGGGTTGTCAACTAAAGTTTTAATAGTTCTGTTCTTTTCTCAGGAAGATGCTGTTGCCCATCTCCTGGTTAAGAATCCCACTGTTACCCCTTACGACACCCACGGGTACCTTTGAGGTAGTGAATTCTTTAGCCGCCACTACATGGCGGTGCTCGTAATAAATTAATAATTTAATAAATTGTCCACCGCTTATACTTAGAAATATATTATGGAACTCAATATTCTATTGATTTTTGTAATCTTGCAATGGACCCGATGCGACAAATGGACCAAAGCCTTTTCATGACATTGGAATCTGCAAACCAGACAATACTTCGAGAGATTAAGTTATTTACAAATAAATCGGATACATTCTACCAATATTTTTTTATGCGTAGTATAGAAAACTATTATAATGCTGGAGGTAATATCGTATCTCTTTCAAATATTGGGCGCCTGTTTGTAATCTTCGCCCAAAACAAAATCCCTACGAGCTGCGAGATAGCTTTTTCATTATAGAGTAAGGGTGCTAAACTAGCACACAGTCCACCTGATGGTAAGTGGTTGCTGTGGCCCATAGACATCGACATCTATCTTCGTTTGCGAATTAAAACGCAGATGCGTAGTCAGCCGTGAGGACTAAAATAGAATGCCTCTTTTCCAGTAAAAAGGGTCGCCGATTCTCTACACTCACCATACGAAACACAGCAGCATTAAGTTGCTATTTTAGGCTGGTAATATGTGAGAGCGTGGTCATTCCCCAGTCTAGCTGACCCATTCGTGCTACAACTATAATATTAATATAGCTGCAGCATAGCTCTACCAAAAGCTATAATCAAAGTAATAGTAATTTTTGATAGATGAATAATATATTATATATTATATGTACCTTGTTTCCAGATAACACTCGCATGTACACGTCAATGAATAACGTACGTGGTGGTGCAAATCGAAAGCGCCATGGATCCACCTCCACCTTGAATACACTGGACACTCATGCGCCACCACCAACTAATCCAAAAGACAAAAAACGTCTCACTTTGTAAGATATACGTTTTTTTCTTTTTTACGTCGATATAAGTGTGAACTATATATACGATACGAGAGTAGCCTAGCAATTAAGGATAGTAAGTAAGGTGTCTGTCACGTTGAACCAATGCGTATTGCGGAGGAGTTCACGTCTTCGAAATATTTTTATTTATTTTTACAAATGTTCTTAAAATTTTTTTCCTTCACCGCAATCAGTACTTGTAGTTGCTATTAATAATTTCATTCGGCGGAGGCCATATTTGTGTCATAATTCTTTAAATACAAAATACAAAAACAAAATACAAAAACTCTTTAAATACTGTCGAAAGCTAACAACTACTTATCAAGTAGCAATATCAATACACACACTATTACTAATGAATACGATCTTATTCATAAGCATACGTTTGTCCTAACCTAACTATCGCATGCACTCTAACAGGTTAACAATTAAATACGTATTATTAAGAAAAACTCAAAATAGTCGTCAGTCAAATAGTCGAAAAACCATTGGTCAGATCGACTGACCAATGGTTTTTGAGACTATTTGACTGATACTATATATACTAATTGGACTGATTGACTAACGGTTCCGTGGCGCAGTGGCTTAGCAATGAGTTGCTGCGATGGGGGCCGCTGGTTCGAATCCCGCACGGAACAAGTATTTGTATGGCCTGCAAATAACTGTTCCGGGTCTGGATGTTTGTGCAATTTGTGTCTGTTAACTGCCTTCACGATACAGGAGAAAATCCTAGTTGTATGGGTAACGTTTTTATAAAAAGAAATAAAAATAGATCTTGATCACATTTATATGGGACCACGTGAGAAGCATCAACTTTCAATCAATAATAATGTCCTCCAGACCGTATTTTGGTCACGGCGGCCAGCCTCAACGGACACAAGCCATCGGCACAGGACACAATTACAGTGCCCTAGTGTATGCGCAAGCACAGGTGTACTGTCTATTCCCTCACTCTCATAGTCCGATGGGACGGTAAACCAACAAAACCGAAGAGAGATCAGGCGCAGACCAACCTTTCCGAGGCACGGGGGTAAGACACCGCCAACTTTCTGACTCCGGGCAGCTGCTGAGAATTTCCTGGCGGAAAACCCAATAACTGAATATTTCGCCCGACCCGGGTTTCGAACCCAGGTCCTCGTGATCAGCAGTCGCACTACTACAACCACTACACCAACGACACAGACAGCTTTCAAATAAAAAAAAAACATCAAAATCGGTTCACATAGAAAATACTTCTGAGGTAATACACATAAAAAATACAGTCAAATTGAGAACCTCGCCCTGTTTTTGAAGTCGGTTGGAAAATGTTTTTGCACGTACATTTTTCTCGACTGGAATTCAAACCCAAGACCAGTATAGCATCCAGATACTCAAACTACTAGACCATGCGATCGCATACTTGATATAGACTTCAAAATTCCTATAGTAATAAAGGAACGTGATATCGTACTCCGCAGCTTGCATTGCTTTCAATTGTTTTGGAAATAAAAACAATCAAGGTTAATAATGTTTAAAAAAAACTAATAATACCCTAAATACGATAATATAAGAACTTTATTACAGCTTTAGTATAAGTTGTGAACGAGAATGGTCGCTAGCCAAATTTGAATCTTTATGGATCCTAAATAGCCATTCAAAATGATAAATGATTAGAGAAACTTAAATATGATTTTCAAAGACCTAATCAGTGATACCCCACTTGACATAGTTCGTCTACTTATTTTTTTTGTTTTAAGTAATATGACGTCTGGTCTTCGCAATATTGAATGTTGATTACTTTCATGTCTTTAGTGACACTCACAAGATTAAGACAAACCGATTGACGTAACAATCATCAAAATAGGCTCACGCGTTTGGTCTCTAGAGTGCCACAAAGAAACAAACATACATACATAGGCTGATAAGCACATTTCCCTAGCAGTCGGGTAATGAATATACGTTGAATCTATATTTTAGTTAATTTAATATGTTATAACGTTTCAGGAAATATATGACCCTGGTTTTTAGTGGAATGTATGCCATACTATTAGTCACTTTAGGTTTGATATTCATCCTATCAGGTTCCTTTTTCGCAAGCTCACTTTATTCGGTAACTATATTATAAGTAATAAATATTAAATCTTATTATATGTACATTTAATTTATAACTTTAAATATTTCTTTCAGATATATTCAGTCATTCTAACGCTCATTGGCTTTGGGTATGTTTTGTTTTTATTATTTGACATTAACAGATATAAGACCGCCGCTTTAAAGAATCAAGAAATTGAAAAATTGCACGCGGCAAATATATCCGAATACCATAATAGTCAAGAAGTAAGTACAAAAGTCATTTGCATAGTTAATTTGTACAGCCTTCTTGTTTATTCTCACACTATAACTTTTATCTTAACAGGGTAGAAAGTATTCCACTTAATACAGGATATGGTCTATCTGTGTACTAGTTACCTATATCGCAAACTATACGCGATAGAATTGAAAATCAACGTCCAAAAATCATCACAAAATTTAACTTAGTCAATATTGTAATACAAATATACCGTATGAGTAACCCTAAAAATCTGACAATCCGTCACTGTATTATTGTTATTTGCAAAAAAAGAAAAACAAATTATTTTTAAGAATTATCAAGAAATCCTCGTCACCACTCACTGATTTGAACAGAACAGTATAAGAAACAACTGCTTGATGACTAATAAACGAAAATAAAATGCCAAATGCAAATCTCTCAGACTAGTAAGCTCGCGAGTCGCCTTATGTGGTTCCGGCAGATTTTTTGACGGCCCCGTTGTGCAGTGGACACATGAGTAAATGAGTTAGCATTGAGATACAACGCTAAGGGTCGTGGGTGGAACAAACAATAATTTGTATGGCCTACAAATAATTGTTCTAGGTATAATTAATAGAATCAGGCGTTACTTTGCGGAAGTCCATTATAACGCGGATATTTGCGAAGTAAATTTTTGTAAAAGCTTTTGAAGTCCATTATATTAAATTTAACAAAAAATTACTTTGCGTACATCCACTAGATAAAATAAAATGATGTGTCTTACCTAGTTTGAAGAGCACCTCCCGCCCTCCCTCAATTGCGTGCACTATCCCCATCACCACTAATCCCAACACCACTACACTAGGAAAGACACACCACTGACGACAATACGACACGTGTTTCGCCTCTACACGAGGCATCCTCAGGTGATATAGACTCTACGGTGGCTAACCGCTAAGTGAGCGGCGAGCCAAAACAACTGCCTTTTATACAGACCGCTGACGCAACCGCTCCCTGCTTAAGGAGCGTGCGACTGCGTCATGCGATAAAACATGCGACTAATCACCGCCGGACTTACGCAGCCATTTGTAAAATTAAAAACAAACCGTCGCGCAACGCCCGCCTACCCTCCAACCACGCAACCAATCGCCGATCACCGTGAGGGTGACAAACGATCATATTGCGAGGCTGTCTACTATTAGAGAGCAGGCTTAAAGATATTTATATGTTATATTCGATAAGTTTGGCTCGACTTAACAATAACAAGAAAAGAATCGTCACATGTTTTCCAAATTTATCGAAAGTCAACTCATACTGACACGGTCATCCCCGCGTCATCGTGTCATCCGTGGCAACATAAAGTAGCCGCTTTTTATTGTTACATTAACCGTTTGTTCACTATCCCATTAAGTAAAGAAAATTATTTAAAAGAACTTAATATAATTTATCTAATAGCGGTCTCTAACGGTTTTTCAAAAAATCTCATTAACAATTTAATTAAAAAGAAACAAAAGCATGTTGTTCGCAATTCTCTGTACGCGGTTCAAGCTCAAAGTGTTCATCGATATGTGAGCAGTTTGACCTACTTAGGCTCCATATCTGAAAAAATAGCTAAGACTCTTCGACAAAACGGCGTTTATGTGGCGTTCAAAACAAACAATTCTCTTAGAAATATCTGTAATAATAAAGATAAGTTGTGTATATAAACTGACTCCAAGAAACAGGGGAAAATCCTAGTTTTAAAGTAACGTTTAAAAAAAAACAAAGAATTCAGCACCAAGGTCAATTGCTGTAGCATTATGCTGAGTCCATAGATTTTTGTTGCTGCATTTCAATGTGAACTTTGTTACGTAGGTCACTCAATAAGTTTTGAGATATCCAAAAAGTATTATAGATCCATCATGCTCTATACAAATTTTCATTCGCCTAAACCAACTCTGAAAACACTTTTGCCAGTCTTGATCTGACAGGTTGGAAATCGCTTCTTCGTAGGCAGCCACAGCTTTTTCGGCGCTTGAAAAAAACTTGCCTTTTATTTCTTCTTTGACTCTTGGAAACAATAAGAAATCACAAGGAGCTAAGTCAGGGCTGTAGGGTGGGTGACTTAGAGTTTCAATACCAGATTCCTCAATAAATGCTTTTGTTGTGAGGGAGGTATGGAAAGAGGCGTTATCGTGATGCAGCATGATTTCCCGAAGCCCGGTTTTTGGTCTTCTCACCCGCACAGCTTGAAAAGCTTTAGGTAATGCAACTGTAGTATACCATTCAGAGTTAACTGAACTACAATTTTCCAGCATTGACACCGAGAAAAGTCCGCTCCAGGAAAAAAACTAGCCACCAATTTTTTGCCGACGTTGCGAGTTCTTTGCAGTTTTGTCGGTAGCTGTCCTTCTGAGTAGACCCATACCAATGATTGCCTTTTATTTTTGGGATCATATTGATAGATCCATGTCTCGTCACCGGTAACAATTTCTGAAACATGCCTAGATGCCGCGTTTTCAAAACGTAGACGCATTTCATGGCACCAATCCACACGAGGCTGTTTATCGTTTTCGGAGAGCAAGCGAGGGATCCATCGACAATAAAGCTTTCTTACTCCAAGATGTTGATGTAGGATGATATTAACGCTCCCCGAACTAATCTCTACAATCTTTTCGATGTCCGTATATGTGATTCGTGTGTCTTCTCGCACCAACATTTCAGTAGTCCATACGTTTTCTGCCGTTACTGCTGTTTGTGGGGCCCCGGTTCTTTGGTCATCTTTAAGATTAATTTACCCGTTTGAATTCAGCAAACCACCTAAAAATTGTTGCACGTGATGGAGCTGAGTCCCCTAATGCTGACTGTAACCGTTGTAAACTTAATTGTTCGGTAAGACCAAATTTTAAATCATAATATATCATAGCGCAAAAATGTTCACGGTTAAGATCCATCTTTTTAAATGAAAAGCGCGGGAAGCGTTGCAGGAAAATTAATAGAACTTTGTTTTTTTTTTTTAATATTGAGCAATTGGCTTACAGAGTTCTATTTTATTTTAAATAAATTTGCTTTTTAGAAACATATAACACTGGTGCGTTCCATTTTTAATTTTCGTGCATCTCAAAACTTATTGAGTGACCTACGTATTTTTGGGTTATTATTTTGTTATAATTTTTTATTAAGTATATTTTTATTTTATTGTGTTAAAATTGAGCAACGGAAAAAATGATTCTTCCTTTCTTTCTGTCTTTCTTTTTAGTAAGCAGACTAGCGTGAGAGCTTTTCGCTCACCGACTCGCTGGACCGGCGGCACGATGAATAACGCCAACTGACGCATTTTTAAAAGATTTATATTCCAAAAGCGAATTAAGTAAAAACATAAAATCTCCTCTCGGGTCCGATATGTTGCTTTTAAGCAGAATAAATATTTATAGGCCATACAAATACTTGTATATGACTGAAATGAATGTGTATTTAACACTATTTGTTGACCATGTCATGATATAGCTTGACCAAATCAATGAATAGAAATTGTTTGAAGATATTAGTAACTAAACATAACATTGCTATTTCATAATATGGTCATATGACGATATCATTTTCGTCTTTCACCGCTAGCGGCACTGATAGTTTATTTTTTAACAGAAACAGAACTTTTAAGAGAATGGACATCACTTTATCCCTTATTTATTTGACCCTTTATTATTTGACAAACTGAACAAGAGCTATCGTATCCATAGTATGGTATCGTATCCGTAGTGACCATAATAACCGCATGACCATATTACCCTCACATACTATAGTTAGTTTTTTTTAAGTTGATTTTTCGAAGTGTTGCTAATTATTGCCAAGGCTTATTGTTATTTTTTTCTATATTAGTTATAGTATACGACATTGTGTATTTGTCTCTCTCCTCCTCCTGGTTTTGGTTTTATAAGGCGGCAAAGCTTAAGGTGACCATATTACCCTCACGTACCTTATATCTTTTTATGGTGCCAATCAATATTAAATAGGACCAATGATATGAATAAAATGTCTCAAATAAACATTATATTACGTGGTTAAAGCTAAATTTACTTTAACTACGAATAAATGTAAAGAGTACAATGTAAATAATAATAATACATTTTGATTTCAAAACTATTTACCTTTCTTACGGATACATCGGAATCGGAAGACACGCCATATATAAAAAATAGTAGGTGTTTCAAGACATATATATTCACGTGTTTCTGTAACATGTTACCAATCTACGTCTAGTAGTATTTTAGAATGAAAAAAATCTCTGACAGATATAGAGACATAGACACCAAGGTGACTCTAAAAGTGATCGAATATTTCTAAATTTGGCACGGAACTGCATTTAATGATGTCCCTAAATTCTACCGCACGCGAGCGAAGCCGCTGGTAAAAAGCTAGTTATGAATAAATGTTTATAGCGTAAAATTTGATGTATATTTAGAGTATAATATATGGACTGACATTCGGATAGATAGCAGAGTAACATTAATAGGAATAACCTTTTGGTAGGGAACTTTAATACTTGTAAAATGAAGACCGTATAAAAATATCTATAAGTAAATCCTATTGAGCATGCCATAAACGCATTAAAAAATGACGTAAAACATGATTATACGGATCTTTTTAAAGTAGTTTAAATACACACAAGTTTTCACTAATAACCTTATTATACTTCCAATTTTTCGATAATTTTATGTCAAACTTCAATTTTAAAAAGTTTGGAAAATCCAAAAGTACACGACTCATAATGCTCATATAATCATCATTCATGTCACTCCATAAAGTCCAAGACGTATTAAAGTATAAATATTACATCCTACTTACTTTAAGTACGAACTACTATTATTTATTCTGTGCTTTTAAAATATTGTAATAAAAATCTCTGAATATTATAATAATCAAGTATGTATGAAATTTGTTTTCCGAATATTTTGTATTTATTTGTACAGCGATCTTTTTGAGCCGCTGCAAACAACCGATACAGTATCCACTCACAATGGCCTCTGTTTACTAAAAATGAATTTACACAAGGCTGCTAAATCACCGAAAATTTCAACATATAGCAGCCAAAAAAAAAATTAATTATAACTAAACAAAACAAAATTAAACTGCCATTTACATTCAATGACTTCCCACATGATAGATGAAGAGTTTTAAAAATAGATTGAGTTGAACAATTGATATTTTCAAAAGTTAATGTGTTTACGAAGCCTAAGGACATGATAAATCCACACCATACGAAACTAAAACCCCTTTTATGTAAAAATAGCAATTAATCGATTTAAAAAAATATATTAATAAGTTCAACAATCATTTATCTTTCTGACAATGTGCTTTTTATATCATTTATATGTATAATATGATTGCTAGATACGATTTCATGCGACAAAACGTTAGAATCTTGATTTTTAGGCGGTAGTAGAACATACCTAAGCGCGTTGCGCTTACGGCATGCAAAATAAATAGGTGTTTAAAAATAACGTTAAAATATTTCACAGGAAGAAATTAGAAACAGTGAATCAGTTATCCGTAGGACTGAAAGTGACAATATTCTTGGAGTACCTTCTAAGTCGCTTATTATTTTGAATCACGACTATTGCTTTAGTGAGGGTCGACATTCAGGCAGTTTTTATCTTAAAATGGGTGCAGCTGGTAAGTGAATCCACATTTTAGAAATGTAATTTTTGTACGAGTGAAGTTGTTCACACGTATGTAAAATATGTATAGAGAGGGTATTGCGAACTAACCTAATCCAAAAATTGATAAGTTTTTGGATTAGGTTTGGTGAGGTTGAAAAGGTAGGACCGTAAAGTGCCACTTATCTAAAACCCTTCAAACTTACCTGACCATACATAACTTAAAATTAAAAATTTTGTACCACCAACTTCAATATAAATTATTAAGAATAACTCAATAACTATTGGTCAAACTTTGATCAAATTTATATGAGACCACATGTGAAGCACCAGCTTTTTTTATAGGATAGGGTGACAAACAAGCACACAGTTCACCTGATGGTAAGCTTTCAAATAAAAAAAGAAACATCGAAATCAGTTCACCCAGTAAGAAGTTATGAGGTAACACACATAAAAAAAAACATTCAGCCGAATTGAGTACCGGCTTTTGAAGTCGGTAGAAAATACAACAGACGATAGGTCGGCTGTCTGCTCGGCCCCCAACAGAGAACCCGGGCGGGGATGGTAGCGGTGGTAACTGCGGAAATGATCGCTGAAGTGTTTTATCACCTGGAATAATTCAGTGAAAGGAGACAGTTTCTTTTTGTATGGAGATTGGGCCCACCACAAATTTTAGGGAACCTTAATGAAATGCATGTCGATTTATTAATTATAATCTATAGATTACAATAGTAATATTAGTTTTACCGTATCTAATGGGAATACTGAGTAATTAGCAAATAAAATATGTATCTTACTATAACCTAAAAACAAACTAAAAGCTATTGTCTATTAGCTTTCACCGGTATTATAAGTTAAAATAGTGCACTGTTCAATAAATAATAGTATAAAACAAAGTTGTAGTTACATTCAGCATTTATAGGTACTTTAAAATTGATGGAAAACCTTTTTAGTAGTTCCGGCAAAATAATATAGTGCATGTCTGTGCATGAATATGGTATGGACACTATTTTTTACATGTATTGTTTGTGAGTATACAACCCAAACACCGTTTAAGTAATATGATTAAAGCCAAGATGAGTCAGGGATAATATGTATGTACATTTATAATATTACCTGCACACGCTATACTATAGTAAGAAAGATGTTTTGAACTGGTTGTATAAGGATAAAAACACAAGTTATAATGCATCTACATTTATTATAGTAAATCATAATTTCCAAAGTAGTCTATTAACAGTAGAACAAATAGACAGGCACGGTGTCAAAACTTTGTTTGAAAATATATTAACTGATTAGTTAGGTTAGATAACATTGCAAATGTTCTTCGAATTCCTGCCAATGATAAATGGACATGTTACCATCTATTTATTTAGAAAAAATCTTTTGAAATGATTTACAATAACAAATACAATTAAAATATACATGTGTTTTATTATCCTTCCATAAACAATTTAAAACATCTTACTTCCTCACTATTTATCAGTGTGTAATAACAGATAAAAATGTTTGAGTTATCTAACCTAACCTAATCAGTTAATATATTTTCAAACAAAGTTTTGACACCGTGCCTCTCTATTTGTTCTACTGTTAATAGACTACTTTGGAAATTATGATTTACTGTAATGAATGTAGATGCATTATAACTTGTGTTTTTATCCTTATACAACCAGTTCAAAACATCTTTCTTACTATAGTATAGCGTGTGCAGGTAATATTATAAATGTACATACATATTATCCCTGACTCATCTTGGCTTTAATCATGTTACTTAAACTGTGTTTGGGTTGTATACTCACAAACAATACATGTAAAATATAGTATCCATACCATATTCATGCACAGACATGCACTATATTATTTTGCCGGAACTACTAAAAAGATTTTCCATCAATTTTAAAGTACCCATAAATGCTGAATGTAACTACAACTTTGTTTTATACTATTATTTATTGAACAGTGCACTATTTTAACTTATAATACCGGTGAAAGCTAATAGACAATAACTTTTAGTTTGTTTTTAGGTTATAGTAAGATACATATTTTATTTGCTAATTACTCAGTATTCCCATTAGATACGGTAAAACTAATATCATTATTGTAATCTATAGATTATAATAAATAAATCGACGTGCATTTCATTAAGGTTCCCTAAAATTTGTGGTGAGCCCAATCTCCATACAAAAAGAAACTGTCTCCTTTGATATTTTGAGTTATTGTTTCTTCTTTAGGGCTTGAGGTCCTACGAGCAATATTTAGCTATATTTTTGTGCTCCCAATATTATATCGATTGGGTTCTTATTTGTAACAATTCAGATATGCCAATATAAATGATCAAATTGGTAATTTGTTATAATTTTTATATTGGCGTTAAATCTTCACGGTAGCACTATTAGGAAGTTGCTGTAAAAATGTGGTTTCAAAGTAGGTAGCTTTTGTTACATAATTATATTATTAGAGATTTTAGGAGTTTCATCTCCAAGATTTTTTATTTCAGCCTGTATTTTTGTTAAGGGTGGGACACCATTTGCGCTACTTCTTCAGTACAGAAGCACACTTCTGATCCTTATTCGCTTAGGAAATGTAATGTGCCATTGATTGTGGTACTTTTTACAAGATCTGTAATTGTGGTTCATTTGTTTGTGTTGTCCGTATGGATAGTGCAAGTTTTGATAACGAAGGTAAAGAAAAGAGGCAGGAAATGTGCACCTCCCCACCCTAACTGAAAAGTTAGAAAAATAAAACATTTTGAAATATCACTTTAGCATATTCTTAAAAAAATATTAAACATATCCTACTCAGATTAAAGCCCTAACCTAAGTGAGTTAAATGTTTTGTAATAAAACAACTACTTATGCAGTTTTAAACATAATTAAAAACAATGGAATATTTTTTTCAGGTTTTGCTGTTGGCCACCTTGTACATTCTATCTTATTAATAACCTTACAAATAAATTATTATTTAGATGAAAATATTGATAATCAAGACTGTGTCGAAATATTTCAACTAATATTTGACATTATAAATCCGTTATATTCATTTGTGCAGCTATATTTTATTTTTCAATATTCTAATGTAATCATTTTGCGAGCGCAGGTAATATGATATGACGGTGTTCGTTTTATTACTTGCTTCTATGTACTGTAGTAACGTACAGTTTACTTTCTAACAGGGCTTGGCGCAGTTCGGTTTTATGCATTTGATTGGCAGTAGTCTTTGCTTCTGGACTTCGACAATTACACGTGAAACTAAATTGGCGTTGACTCTCTATGCCAATTCTAAGTACAAAAATTCAACACATGGTGATGAATCAGTACATAATTTTGGGTCAGGTATTATAATTTATTGCAGCATATTCTAAAAAGTATATTAATGTACGAAAATTTCAATGAGTAAGCAAATTACTATACTACTTTGCTATTTTTTTTTTCAGAGTACAAAAGTGAAGATCAATTGAAGGATATTAGTGACTTTTATAACAAACGCTGTGAAGGGTCATCTGCAATTTTTTCAGTGTTTCAAAACTTATCTCCATACTTATACCCATTTAGTGTAGAATTCAACATCCTCATTGGTAAATTGTGTTTTAATGTTTTTATTTCTTACTAGCAGACCCACCCGCAACTTAGTTCTTTGGACAAATGCCGATTCTTAAAATTATTTTACTAATAAATAGCTACTCTATCCCTGAGCGAGTCTAAAGTTTTGAGTCAATCTATTTGGATAATACTTACATTGTACGTGGAGGAGCTATGACCTGAAGGTCTTTAAGTCAAGAGTGAATAGGTTACTTCTAGGCAAGCGTACTGCATCGTCGACCGCATTATCGTTTATCTACCATTAGGTGAGACAGTGGTCAAATACGAACCTATCAATAGTAATAAAAAGTTATATTAAAAGTTAAAAGTTATACTTAGTATAGAATTGTAAAATCTTAAATTACTGTAAAGCTTCTCTGTATACACACATTGCAGTGGTGTTGGTTTCCGGTAACAGAATATATTGATTTTCAGAAGATCCATCTCGAGATAGACTAACATATAATTGTCCATGAGAAGAACACTTCTTTCTCAGGTCTTGCCATTGCACATACTGGGTTGGTTTAAATTCCTCAATTAGTATAATGCGGGTACTTTTAAATTCAGGGCATATTATAGCAGTCCCGCGTGATAAATAACTGTGTCTTCAATGGTTTCTTATTCTTTAAGCCGTATTTTATACTATGTACATTTACTTTTCATATAAATGACGTCACATTTTTTCATAGAATAAAGGTAACAAGTGAGTACAGAGCCCGTGCGATGGTAAGTGGATGGCCCAAGGACGTCTACATCTATCCCTGATTAAGAATCCAAATGCAGATGTGTTGTCGCCCCTGAGGACTAAGATGGAATCCTATCCAGTAAAAACTCCGGGTCTCCGGTTCTCTACACTCACCATACGAAACACAGCAGCATTGTTCTACAACTATACCAGTAATACGTAGGTCACTCAATAAGTTTTGAGATATGCAAAAAGTATTCTAGACTATTAATATTTATTTTATACCTTTTCAAAATATTCTCCATCATGCTCTATACAAAGTTCCATTCACCTAAACCAACTCTGAAAACACTTTTGCCAGTCTTGATCTGACAGGTCGTAAATCGCTTCTTCGTAGGCAGCCACGGCTTTTTCGGCGCTTGAAACAAACTTGCCTTTTACTTTTTTTCTTTGACTCTTGGGAACAAAAAGAAATAACAAGGAGCTAAGTCAAGGCTGTAGGTTGGGTAACTTAGAGTTTCAACACCAGATTCCTTAATAAATGCTTTTGTTCTAAGGTAAGGTATGTGAAGAGGCGTTATCGTGATGCAGCATGATTCCCCGCAGCCCGGTCTTTGGTCTTCTCTCCAGCACAGCTTGAAAAGCTTTGGGTAATGCAACTGTAGTATACTATTCACAGTAGTCAACTGTGAATAGTATACTACAATTTTCCAGCATTGACGTGGACAAATATGCGCTCCGCGAAAAAAAACTAGCCACCATTTTTTTGCCGACGTCGCGAGGTCTTTGCAGTATTGTCGGTAACTGTCCTTCTAAGTAGATCCATAACGATGATTGCCTTTTATTTTCGGATTATATTGATAGATCCTTGTCTCGTCACCAGTAATGATTTCTAAAACACGCCTAGATGCCCCGTTTTCAAAACGTAGATGCATTTCATGGCACCAATCCACACAAGTCTGTTTTTCGCTTTCGGAGAGCAAACGAGGGAAACATCGACAACAAAGCTTCCTCACTCCAAGATTGATGTAGGATGATATGAATGCTCCTCGAACTAATACTAACAATATTTTCGATGTACATATATGTGATTCGTGGGTCTTCTCGCACCAACATTTCAGTAGTCCATACATCTTCTCTCGTTACTACTGTTTGCGGGGCTCTGGTTCTTTGGTGATCTTTAAGATTAATTTTACCCCTTTTGAAATCAGAAAACCATCTAAAATTGAGTTCCTTTATGCTGATTGTAAACTTAATTGTTCGGTTAAACCATGAAGCAAATACAAAGAGGAGACGTTGTAATTAAATTTCACTATGTAACAACGCGTGACAATTTCCGGGGTGAGGGGATACAAAGCCCCGCCCACTTTACACTATCTACATCTACCGATAAATAGTAAAACTACTCCAATCTTTCCATATCGATGTTGCAATGTAGCTTAGCTACCTTGACGGTAGATGGCGGCATGTCCACAAAATGTTATAAAGTATAAAAATAATATTTTGCGATTATAATTTCTTTATGTCTGAATGCAAAACAAATTTCAGCACCTTCGTATGATTATTTTACCAATACTGAGCTCTACGGACCTTTATATTTTTAGTTCCCAGGACGCAAAGTGTCGCCATCTAGTGTCGAATATATTTAATTATATTTGAAAGCCGACGCAAAAATATTTTTCTAGAACTATTTTAATAAATTAGGTGTAAAATTATTTACAAATGAAATGTGATGCCATCCATAACATCAGAGCATCTATCTGAGTAGTTTTTACACAATAAAACACAACACTTCATCCTTTTCTTCTTAATACTACGAAAATACATCGATTTGCGATTTTTTCAACACATAAGCGCACAGTACGAATGCTGACAGTATACTAACTAAAGCCACGCCTACTATGATGACGTCAGGACCTACTTAGAATCACAGTGCACAGTTGCTTATGCCGTCTACCCTTTGTATTAGCTTCATGGGTTAAACCAAATTTAAAATCATAATATATCATAGCGCGCAAATGTTCTCAGCTAAGGTCCATCGTTTTAAATGAAAAGCGCGGGAAGCGTTGCAGGAAAATTAATAGAACTTTTTTTTTAATATTGAGCAATTGGCTTATGGAGTTCTATTTTTATATAAATTTGCCTTTTAGAAACATATAACACGGGTGCGTTCCATTTCTAAATTTCGAGCATTTCAAAACTTATTGAGTGACCTACGTATAGCTGCAGCGTGGCTCTACCACGTATATATATCACATGCTATAATATAGCTTTAAAGTAGGTAAAAAATCATAATTTGAATAGTGTAGTGCAAAAAGGGTAATTCAAATCTTACTGCACCTAGATCCAGATATGAGAGCTTTCAAATAAAAACGCTTTCTGCTTCGTTCTCTAAGAAGAATGTGGCACACTGCGGCATTTTCCTTGCGTTTAACATTTTTATATTCGTGGTAACTTCTAAACGAAGTGTCCAATTCAAATAATTTAAAGTGGAATTTACATCTACATAAACAATCTTCTACCACATGTTAATAAAATTTTAGAACACAAAAGCTGTTATTGTTACTTAACTATATTATTTAGACATATTGTCCCTAGGGCTTTTTTGTAGATATTGATAAGTTCTATAAACGCATAGTACATTATTTTATTCTTCTACCAATAGTTTTCTTAGCGCACGCCAAGTAATGACTTTTATGGACAAGGTTTTGATACCTTAGGTTACAATAATGAAATTTCTTAAGGTTTACTATTTTATTAAGTAAAATGTAGCCTATGTTACTCACTAATACGAGTAACGTAGCTTTTTTAAAGAAATAGGGTGACAAACGAGCACACAGTCCCAGGTGGACTGTGGATGGTAAATGGTTGCCGAGGCCCATATACATCTACATCTATCCTCGTTTGCGAATCAAAATACAGATGCGTTGTCCACCTTGAGGATTAATATGGAATGCCTCTTTTCTAGTCAAAAGGTTCTCCGATTCTCTACACTCACCATATGAAACACAGCTGCTATTTTACGCTGGTATTCTGTGAGAGCGTGGTCCTTCCCCGGTCGAGGCAAAACATTCGTGCTACAACTATACTCTAAATATAGCTGCAGCTTAGTTCTACCATGTCCAAAAAAACAGCTTTCTTTAAGCGTAAGAATTTCAAAAATCGGTTTAGTTGTTTTGGAGTTTATTCATTACAAACAAAATACTTTTTTTTTTCACTGTATAATATTAATATTGATGATACTCATTTCAAATACCTCCATAATGTATTTGACGGCACCTGCACCGTTGTAGATGCGGTGGCGTCGGTCTAGCAAGACAAAATTCTTGTAAACGACACGTGTACCGCACACCTGCGGCATCGCACCTGCGTTACCGCCCGTCCTGCTTGTATAAAACGGACTGAGCGGCCGCCGTTAAGACAGTCTTGGCTCTGACGTGGAACGGTACACTTGTCGTATTCCGTTACTAGTTTATCCTCGACTCATTGGATAATTAATTCGTGTAAACGAATTAATTATTATTCCTAACTACAAAATTAGTCTCTGTACTATACCCACTATACTTCCGACATATTCACACTTTCAGTGGCTGTGTTATATATCATATGGAGCAACATTGGCAATTGTAGTAAAGTATCAGATAACAGAGAAACTAATTATGCTTTAGAGGAGAAACATTCCGTATGCAAGTACGTTCAATTTGTTGATTGTTAGTTTCAGATATTATACAAACATTTTTTAATATATTTTAATCTTTCTAATATAATAATATTATATTTAACTTTTCGCGGTGCTATTTTAGGATACGGTCACCAAACGAAGATACGAGCAGTATGGTGATCCATGTCGATTGTCAAGGTTCAAATCGAGGACTCTTCATGGGATTAATTCTAATTGTAATCGTCATTGGAATGCTCGTAATCGGGTTTGTGTTTAGCAGCGTTGGCGAGTAAGTGGTCTTACTTTTTAACATTTTCAAATAAATATTTCTCCGACTAAAATGATAATTAAAAATATATTTAGTTAAATTTTATAGAAATATGATAGAATATCGGAATCATAAACAAGTTAACAAAACACCTAATATTAAGCGGGTACTGAAATATTGAAATCTATACATATAATAAAATTGTAAATAGCAGATGTCTGTACATTTTATATTTTTGTAATAAAAGTGATTGAGGGGTACTAAAAATAAGTAATTAAATACATTTCTACCATTTTTAGAATTTTCTGTCTGTCTGTCTGTCTGTCTGTCTGTCTGTTTGTTTGTTAACGTATCACGTTTAAAGTACTAATTTATATCATAAAAATTGTTAAGGAAATTATAAAGTAAACCTTCGGGTTACATTTAGTCTTTATTTCATTAAAATCGGTTCATTCCATCAAAAGTTATGATAAATATTCTGAAGTATGGGTAGGGAATTTGCTCAACGGTGGCTTTGTTGGAGTCATCAAGTTGATGTTAGCAGCGCCATCTCTCTTTAAATATATACATATAATAAAAATGATGATAACATGTTGTGTCTCTTTCTGTACATTGTATATATTATATATTATCTATACATATAATAAAATTGTAAATAGCAGATGTCTGTACATTTTATATTTTTGTAATAAAAGTGATTGAGGGGTACTAAAAATAAGTAATTAAATACATTTCTACCATTTTTAGAATTTTCTGTCTGTCTGTCTGTCTGTCTGTCTGTCTGTTTGTTTGTTAACGTATCACGTTTAAAGTACTAATTTATATCATAAAAATTGTTAAGGAAATTATAAAGTAAACCTTCGGGTTACATTTAGTCTTTATTTCATTAAAATCGGTTCATTCCATCAAAAGTTATGATAAATATTCTGAAGTATGGGTAGGGAATTTGCTCAACGGTGGCTTTGTTGGAGTCATCAAGTTGATGTTAGCAGCGCCATCTCTCTTTAAATATATACATATAATAAAAATGATGATAACATGTTGTGTCTCTTTCTGTACATTGTATATATTATATATTATGGTGACTAAAATCATTATGGGGAACTAAAAATAATTAAATAAGTACATTTTTATAATTTTTAGAATTGTCTTTCTGTCTGTTTGTCTGTTTTTATATGAAAGCATCACGTCTAAAGTAAACATCTTTTTTTTTCAAAGAAATCGTTAAGAAAATCATAAAGCGTATCTTCGAGTTACATTTAATCTTTGTTTTATTAAAATTGGTTAATTCTATCGAAAGTTATGATTATTATTTTGAAATGTAGGTTCGAATTTGTTTAATGGCGCCACAAAATCTCAGAAATATTAATAAAAAGATACGTGTGAAAAATGATGATAACATGTGTCTCTTTCTGTACATTGAATATATTATATATTATGGTGACTAAAATCATTATGGGGAACTAAAAATAATTAAATAAGTACATTTTTATAATTTTTAGAATTGTCTTTCTGTCTGTTTGTCTGTTTTTATATGAAAGCATCACGTCTAAAGTAAACATCTTTTTTTTTTCAAGGAAACCGTTAAGAAAATCATAAAGCGTATCTTCGAGTTACATTTAATCTTTGTTTTATTAAAATTGGTTAATTCTATCGAAAGTTATGATTATTATTTTGAAATGTAGGTTCGAATTTGTTTAATGGCGCCACAAAATCTCAGAAATAGTAATAAAAAGATACGTGTGTAAAAAAAAACGTTCTATTATAATATATTTATACTTAAAACACAGTAAAAAAAATATGTTTTCCTTAAATTAAAAAAGGATGTTTTCTCACAAAGAACGTAATAGATGGCGTTGTACAAATTACAACCTTTTCTGAATTGCGGTGTTAAGATTTTTCGCAGGTGAATCGTATTGACACTCACTGAAAAAATTTATGTTCATGAGTCCGGCGAAGCTGCAAGACTGTTAGAGTCGTGTAGGCTAACAACACAAAGCACAAACACCGACAGAAACAGAAAAAAGAGACGTACCGCGTACGTCGAAATTATTCAACAAAACTCGAAAACTCGACTAAAAGTAGTAAATTTGCAATAAATGTCGTGATATTGTTTTATACCCAGAATCCCTCTAAACCTCTAATACCAAATAACTTTCCTTACAGTTTTAAGATAGGGATAATAACATCGATGATGACATCGATGTTGGCATCGATAGCTCAACATCGATGTTCGATGTTTAGGCTACTCAAAACATCGATGATGACCATTATCGATGGTTTTTGTATATGTGTAGATACTTACACATTGTTTCAAAATTATGTGGGTATACACATCAAGGGAAAAGTAACTATTAACTTGAATATCAATTTACGTAGAATAGTTATTATGCGACAACCGACAACGACACTACAAAATAAAGCGAAAGCAGTGACCATTGTGACATCACAGGTGACACTTGACAATTAAGTTTGACTCACCATACTGACATTTTTTTAGGTTAACGATTTGTTCAGGAATTCTGAATTATTCAAAATTTTTAATCTTCAGAGCAGATGCAAGATTTAGTTGATATTGATTTCGCGAGTTCGCATTGTTTGCAAGTTCCCAATTATCGATTATGGGTTCATTGACGTCGATGTTTCGATGTTTGACATGTGTCAACATCGATGTTAAAATATCGAAGTTTTAATTTTTAACATCGATGATCATCTAACATCCCTATTTTAAGTGTGTTTCCCACTCAGCGTGTGTTATGCGACGATCGTAAATAAAGCGCAAGGTCAAACTTTACGCGTTGTAGGAGTGGACCCCAGTACTGATTGTTTTGCACATGGCCAACTCTATGCCAACCTTTTTCTGTACGCCCCGGCTAAGTCTACTTCTATCGTCGTTTACACGGAAGCTCTATCATAAACGACTTAGAACTTTGAGCGTATCGATTTATTTTGTTACCACTTATTCATACAGTAATGATATAAATCGTTTAATATTCTCTTACCCTAAACGTCAAATTCTTTAAGTAAAACCTATATTCGCGAGCTACGCCGCGGGCACAGCTAGTATCAAATAATCTTTTAACAAAGAAGCTATGGATGAGTTGTCACGCTTGATTACGAAAATGCTTTACAACCTGTTATCGTTCTCGCCCTCTAAACCTTCAAAACGAAACGCAGTTGTGCATACATTGCGGCAGGAATAGATAAGGGAATAGAATGTACTAATCTAGTCGGGCACCTAAGAATAAAAAAGAATGGCAAAGAAAAAATTTCATTGCACACACCAAAACATATATGATAGATGGTAGTCCAATAGGCGGTCCTATTCTTAAACACGATATAGTGCGATGGTTATGCATTAAGATTACAGATATATTATTAACTAGCTATTCCCCGCGACTTCGCCCGCGTGTTATTTAGGGTTTTAATTATGTAGCGTGGAACCTATTTTTTTTTTCTCATATATAAGTAGCCTAAGTTACTCCTTATAACATCAGCTATCTCCCAGTGTGAAAGTCCCGTCGAAATTGGTCCAGCCGTTTCGGAGATTAGCCCAAACAAACAGACGGACAGACAGACAAAAATTTAAAAAATTGTGTTTTTGTTATAAGTATCGTATATACTTTCATAAGCATTTAATAAAAAGCTTTTATTTTAACATTACAAACAGACACTTCAATTTTATTTATTTGTATAGATTTGTATATTTATATCTAAGTGACAGATTAGTAATTTTAACGAGTTCATACGTTTTGGTTGACAGGCACGTAGTTTGAAGATTACTTTGACCCTACCAAACCCAGAATTATGTGTAATATTTTTTCTAGAAATATTCTAACTAGACATTGCCATACTCATAGTAAGAATGAAAAAAATGTAATCGACAAAAAATCTAGCATGCTACGTAATAAAACGCAGAAACGCATGCTAGGCTTTATATATAAGTATATTATGGCTGCGGTACGAATTGGTCGACTCACAGACTACCACCGTGAAAAATCACAATAATGGTGTTTTGTATGGTGAGTGCAGAGAACCGGAGACCCTTTTTACTCCTAACGACCCTTACTTTGAAGACCCTTTTACTGGCAAGAAGGCATTACAGATTAGAATATCGGGGTGACAGCGCGTCTGCATTTTGATTTTGAATCACGGGTAGATGTAAATTTCTAAAGGCCACATTATCCACTTATCATCAGGTGTGTTGCGCGCTCGCTTAGCCATCATTATCCTTTAAATAACGAAGAAACAGAAACAAACTAACGTTAATGAGAAATAAAATAAATAAAATAGCCTTTATTTCTACTACAATGCAAACTTGACATATGATTTCATATATTCAAATTATATACAATATTAAAAACTATAATAATAATAAAAAAAAAACTAAAACTAGAAACTTAATTATAATTATCATATAGTCCTAATCCCCGCGGTATCGTGCCAAGAACGCTGGCCGCGTTTCCCCGCTGAATGGCTATACTTAGCCTTTGAGCGAGAAAAGAACCAGTCCTCTTATCACTAGCAGCAACGACCAGCCGCGGATGGAGTTTCTTTAAGAACTTCACCGCACGTGGACCCCACGGACCGATAGTCTCTACAGCAAATGGCACAAATATGTAGTCATCTCTCAGAGACTCATATTTGCGCCACTTAGTTCAGCTGCCTCTGATGCTGCCCCGGCTCTAAACGAGGTACCCCTGAGATGAGAGGCCGCCAGAGTGTCTACACAAGTAGCATCCTACACTAGGGCTTTACCTCTCTCCCAAGGGACCAATGTCATACCGTCGGGTCTCCTGCCATCATCTCTAAATATTCCACAAAGCTCTAAAACCGAGGGAACATTTATAGATACAAGGGCCCTTCGGATGACACTATTTAAAGAACTGTGTCGTGAAAACCTACCAGCGCTTTTCTTACATGAAAGTCCGTGGAGCCCAAACTTGTCGACGCTGCTACCACAGGGGCACTCATGGGGTTGACAAAGCGCCGCTCCTAGTCGGATTCCTACGGCAATACGCAAGCTTTCCTCATCAAGTAATGTGCCGAGATTACTTGATGGTAAAGCGTGTAACCAGTGACTGGATTCCTTAGTCGAAACTACTAGAAGGCGTGCCTTATCTTGGTCATTATGGAAATTATGAAACAAATCTTTCTGCACGCTCTGTACCAACGGAATCTCCCACTGTTTTTGTTGGTTAACTTCCAGTGGAACATTTTCGCCGGGACAGAGTGTTTGCCATGTCTACCTTGCCTCCGTAGCAAAGCATAGGTCTGCTTTGTTATTTAAAATTATGTTTCATAAATTTCTGACACTATTAACGGAATCAAAGAAAGCAGGCATTGCAACGCTAGAAAGATTCCTCACACCAATGCCACCAAATTTTATAGGTAAAGTAGCTTGAGTCCAGGCTGTTGTCCTGAGAAGGTTTGACCGAAGGATGCTTCTGACGAAGGCTTTCAAGAGTTTCGACATTACGAGGAGCCAGGATGTCGTCTGAGAATAAAATACGGGATGCATTTTTTAAGTCGCCATCCATTATTTTCGACTCAACTATTTCTTTTAAATAAAATTTAGGCCGTGGTTGAGATAAATGGCTATTAATTGGGTAATCTAAATTTTGAAAAGATGTCTCTTTTAGTTGAGACGTAATTGATTTATTTATTGTTTTATCAAAATGAAAACGGGAATATGCGAAAGTAAATAATTTTTGCTAACTATTTTCACTATTTGTTAAACAAATTTGAATAGTGCATGACAATGCTTTAGCAAGCTGCATCCTCGCACCTCTAGGAATTCTTTTAATCACTGGTACATTACGATGATAATTGTAAATTTGCTCCGAAAAAAGGGAAAAATTTGTGTCATTAGTTGAATTGTTAATAGAGTTATGAATTTCTACGGTAGGCTGTGAAGCCGAAATACTTTTACCTTTAAACAGCCTACCGTCGGCACAATTTTGACACTGTAGGAAATCCGGCTGTGAATATAGCGGAGCAGAGATATTCATTAAAAAGTCTAAACAAATCTCTACAGCACTCGAAAGTCTTTATATTACATAACTTCATATTTGATTGCTGCTGTACCCCGCATCTTTCCCTGAAACAATCATTTACGGCCTAAATTAAAGCACTTTACTCTATAAATAAAATATTATCACATTAGTTCCCTGGATTTATTCCATATTGATAAAAAATTGTTTCTAGTCGTTATGTTTTGACAGTTGACAACGACGCAGCAGAAATATTTTCCTTTATAAATGAGAATTACAACTGAAATCAAAAAATAATTACTATAACAACTCTCTTATATATTTACTGATCTTTTTATTGAAATTTATAAGCCAGAATTGGCCTCTAAATAACAAAATAAAATAAGTTACATATACGTTGCTTATGACAGTGAAAAATTTTGTAAAAATGAAAAATAAATATAATTACATACATAAAGAATTATAAGTGATCAACGTGGTTAAATTATACCAAATTCAGCCATGTTTATTTCTATATAGAAATGTATACATGTGTAATACGAATATATCCACGTCACAGAGAAAAAGATTTTTCTTTTACGAACCCAATACCTTTGCATCTTAACATTTTTGTTAAAATTTGAAGATATTGGGCCTATGAAATAAATTAACAGAGGAGTTTGGAGAAAACACTACTTAATGAATTGGGAAAGTGATGACGATCGATTTTTTTTCTCTACTTTTTATGTCAAACTTTTAGATATTTTGCGAGAAAACACATTATATTTTACATATTCACGGATTCGTTTTCCTTTTAAATCATAACATTAAACAGTATTTCTATCAAGTTTTCTAAAATAGGAATTTTGGACGTTTAGCTAATAACTAGGTTAAAACGTGTTTTATAATGCAATCATGAATACGTTGAATGCAATGTATTATTTTTGCAACACATAAAATAATGTCCTATATCTAATCGTTACTATACAGATACTTCTGCATGTGAATATATTGAATGAAAACACACCTCAAATGTCGATCAGTTTGCCCGATTCAGGCAAACGAACGTGTTTTTATTTTCATATTCAATTATATCTTAATGAAAAAATTATTTCTAGAACGTTTTTCCAGAAAATTCGCAAAAGTGGCTTATCATCTAAATGACCTTACTAAATTATTTATGCACGTCATGATGCTAGTTGCCGCCGTTATAGCTTACAAGCAATCACTTAAGCTAGACATAAATGAGCATCCTGTATCCTTATTAGATGACGTCCTCCTCTTTATATGCTTGCCAGCGTTCTTTATGGATACAGTTTTTTCAATGGCCGCTACAATAAGTTTGCTGAATATCGTTAAAACCATTGATTTCGCAGTTATGGTAAGAACTTTTTTAATTATTTTTAAGGATAATAATTAATTTTATGTTAGAAATTTACACGATATAACTAAAATAACAAACATCATCATCATCATTATTACAGCCCTTCACAAGTCCACTGTTGAACATAGGACTCCCCCAAAGAATGCCACAAAGCACGGTCCTGAGCCACCTGCATCCATCGACTTCCTGCATATCTTACCAGGTCGTCACTCAATCTAGTGGGGGGACGCCCTACACTTCGCCTGCCGGTACGAGGCTGCCACTCGAGAACCTTTCTGCCCCATCGGTTGTCGGTTCTTCGAGCTATATGGCCGGCCCATTGCCACTTCAGCTTACTAATCCGTTGGGCTATGTCGGTCACTCTGGTTCTACTGCGGATATCCTCATTTCTGAGTTTATCACGCAGAGAAACTCCGAGCATAGCCCTCTCCATAGCTCGTTGAGCGACCTTGAGCTTCCTCATCCGGCCAGCAGTGAAGGACCACGTCTCAGTTCCGTATGTCATCACTGGCAACACGCACTGGGTGTGCAGTCTCGTTTTCAAGTTTTGAGGTATACCTGACGAGAAGATGTGTCGTAATTTCCCGAACGCTGCCCAACCGAGTTAAATCCGTCGATTGACCTCTCGGTCGAAGTTGGACTTACCTAGTCGGACTATTTGTCCCAGGCAAACATACTCGTCAACAACTTCGAGCTTAGTGTTCCCAACAACTACCGGCATAGGTGTGACATGGACATTAAACATGATCTTTGTTTTGTCCATGTTCATCTTAAGACCTATCCGTTGGGAAACACTATTGAGGTCATTGAGCATAGTGCTTAGATCCTCCAGCGATTCTGCCATAAGGACAATATCGTCGGCAAATCGAAGGTGAGTGATGTACTCGCCATTGATGTTGATACCGTATCCTTTTCAGTCCAGAAGCTTGAAAACATCTTCCAATGCAGCGGTAAAGAGTTTCGGGGATATGACGTAACCCTGTCTTACACCTCTCTGCAATTGGATAGGTTTCGTACTCTGGTTCTGTACTCGGATAGCAATCGTAGCCCTACTGTACAAGCACTTTAACACTTCGATATACCGACAGTCAACTTGGCATCGCTGAAGGGACTGCAGCACCGCCCAAATTTCGACGGAATCAAAGGCTTTTTTTTTGCGCGCGAGACGATTCGTAATGACACTCAAAAACAGCACGTAGACGCGGCTCAGAAGGGAAATCGGTCTGTAGTTCTTCAAGAGAGCGTTGTCGCCTTTCTTGAAGACCAAGACCACCGCACTTCTGCTCCACGCCTCCGGAGTAGTGCCACCATGGAGGACGGAATTAAAGAGCTTCTGAAGGACTTCAAGTACCGGTTTTCCACCCGCTTTCAGAAGCTCCGCTGTAATTCCATCCTTGCCTGGGGCCTTGCCGTTTTTAAGGTGCTGGAGAGCCATTCTAATCTCGCTCAGACTGACGTCCGGGATATCCTCGGAATAATGTCGGATAAGACTAGCTCTTGAATCGTTACTCATACTTGCGTGCGGCTCCAACGATGACGTGTACAGCTGCCCATAGAACCTCTCAATCTCACTCAAAATCTCAGGTGCCCCGGAAACGATGCTGCCACATTCGGTCTTCAGCTTTGACAGTTGGCTCTTACTGGCAGACATATCTCTGGCAAAGACTTTGGAGCCTTGATTCCGCTCGATCGCTTCTTCAATACGAGCTATATTGAAGTTGCATAAATCCCGTCGCATGCACTTGGAGATCTGTCTGTTCAGTTGCCTGTATGCTGTCAAATCTGTTGAATAATGTAGCTTCATCTCCCGTCTAACAGCCATGAGATTAAGAGTGTGATCGGAGAGTTTTTGTGTTCTTCTGCGGCGGGTCTTGCAGAACTTAGCTCCGACCGCATGGACAGTTTCCACGAGCTTGTCATTCAAATCGTCCACTTCATTGCAGTCTTCTAGGCACTTAAAACGGTTTTGTAACTCGAGCTGAAAGGTTTCGGGACTTTGGATTAGAGCACGAGGGGGACGGAGCGTTGACTTCATTAGACGAGACCTCTCCAACTTAACGTTTAGGTTCAGTGTGCCTCTAACCATTCGGTGAACGCTGCCGATTTTCACCCTCGCGATCACTGAGACATCACTGAACAGTTGTCGTCTGGTCGTCATGAATGAAGTCAATCTCATTTTTTGTCAACCCGTCGGGGCTCGACCAGGTCCACTTCCTGTGGGGCCGCTTCTGAAAGAAAGAGTTCATCATAAAGAGTCCCTCTTTCTTCATGAAGTCGGCCAGCTGCTGGCCCCTTGGGTTCCGTTGCCCTATTCCAAATTTTCCCACTTTCAGCTCACCGTTCTCTCTTGTGCCTTGTTTTGCATTGAAGTCTCCCATTAACACCGTATATTGGGTTTTTGAGGAATGCATGGCTCTAGCGATATCCTCATACATTTCCTCCACCTCCTGATCGGGGTGTGCCGAGGTTGGTGCGTAAACCTGTATGACCTTCAGCGAATACCGTTTGGTGATTTTGAGTATAAGGTACGCAACCCTCGTCGACACACTCTCAATCTTTACAACTTTGTTAACGAGAGACTTGTGGACGATAAATCCGACACCTCCTTGGGACAGATGGTTGCCCTCCCGGTAATAGATCAAGTTGCCGGATTCGAGGATTACCGTGTCCTCCCCCTCTCTTCGGACTTCGGATAATCTTATAATATGCCAGCGTAACTTGTCTATCTCTTCTTCCAGCTCCACAATCTTCTCGTCAGTCCTCAGGGTGCGTGCGTTGTATGTTGCCAGGTCGAGTCGTCGTAGGTGGCAACCGAACCTCCACCGGAGATTCTTAGCACCCCCTGCCCCGCCGTTACCATGGTCGCCACCGTAGCCAGGAATAGCGGGGCCGCCGGGGACTGGGGGCCGTCTCTTCGTAACTTTCATCATGGGGGGTATATTGCCATAGTTGCCACGCTTGGCGAGCGGGTTGGCAACCGCAGTTTTTTTATTGTATTTTTGCCGTTACCAGGAAGATGCTGCTGCCCATCTCCTGGCTGTTTCCCTTTGTCGCCTTTTACGACACCCACGGGATCTTCCCGTAGTGGATATTCTTAACCGCCACTACACGGCTATAAAATAACGAACGGTTAGACATAACCCTTGGCCCCGAAATAATGACGATTAAGGGTGGCAAACGAGCACACACTGATGGTAAGTGATTGCTTTGGCCCATAGACATCTATATCTATCATCGATTACGTATTAAAATGCAAATGCGTTGTCACCCCTGTGAACTAAGATGGAATGCATCTTTTCCAGTAAAAGGGGTCTCCGGTTCTCTACACTTACCATACGAAACACAGCAGCGTTAGGCTGCTATTTTACGCTGGTATTCTGTGAGATTGTGATCATTCCCCGGTCGAGCCGATCCATTCGAGCTACAACTATACTACTAATATAGCTGCAGCATGACTCTACCACGTAAAAAATTCGCTTTGGACACGTAACAAGTTTGTAAGGCCTCGAATCGAGATCATATTTTGGGTCTAAATGTTAGCCAATGTGCATTGTATGAATTTAAAGCGCCCTCCATTATACAGGGGAAAATTCTAGTACTAGGCAACGATTTTCGAAAAAGAGGAATCTCTTCAAAATTAGGACGAATAATAGTAAACCGCATTTCAAGAAGATTTACAATTATAACTCTTTTAAGTTAAGTCGCCTCTAGATTATCCTCTTATTTGTAATAGTTAATCACAACTACAATATTAGATTTGCATCAATTTTTACCGAAATTGAAAGCAAAAAATTATTTTATAAAGATTTTTATTTTTATTTAATACAGTAATCCACCATGTAAGAATTTCTCTTTAGTTATGATAACGAATAACGATTAACTTATGTAAATTACATATGGCTAAACGCCTAGACTAGAACAATGTTTTTGTAATTCAAAACATTGCAAAAGCATAAGCGGTGCTGACAAACGCTTGAATACTACTTTAAAGACCGAAGTTATTTATTAGGAGACCAACATGTGAATATACCTAACAGGCCTTTTGTCCTTAGAAGAATATGGTTGGTGTAAATACTCAATACACACTCAGCAATACGAGTGCTGTCACACACCTTCATAATTGTGTTTATTGCAAAGGTTATCGTATACCTAAACTCAAATCTTTATCATAACACGTTATATTAAAATAAATATAATATATATTTGGTTTTTCAGATAATACAGGTGATTATTCAAACACCTCTATTGGTTGATGGTCTACGTCGTTGCAGTAACAGCAGAAAACTGCGACGCACAAAGCCCGGACGAGATCTTTTTATGTTCCTTATTATAGCAAATGTGGGGATGTGGTTGTTATACACATTCTCTTACAAATCGCCTGATAGCCAAGACGAGAGATACGAGTACTACGGCAAAGTACTTTGGACTAAACTCGGTCATGTCTCTTTACCATTTGTCATGTTTTATAGATTCCATTCTAGTGTATGTTTCGCAGACATCTGGTATTCGGCTTATAAGCCTAGTTCTGAACATTAAAATTTAAATATTTATGTTATTTTATTACATTACTTTATTTAAAAAATATTACCTTATAACGTTTCAAATTTTAAATCAACAAGATGAAGACTAGAGTGAGTATCCTGTCAATAAAAAAATAACTTTTGTAAAAAAGTAAAAGTCGACTTCAAACGACTAAAAATAATAAAATAAATTCATATTATGAAATCGCTATGTTACGCGATATCTTCGTCTTTTGTGAATTGATTTTGCTAATTCTTTTTTTATCAAATAAACTACAACTTCACAAGTGGCTCCATATAAATTTGAAAATCAAACTCAGCTCGTAGGGTTGGCATAATAGGGGGTGAAATTTTGAATGAAACTATTTAGACATTTAGATTTTGTAGCCCACTCTAACGCGTAAAAAAATTAATAAAATGCATAAAAACCGACTTCAAACACCTAAGAAGTATAAAATAATTACATATTCTGAAATTGGGGTTTTAAATCTTCAATAAATACAATATGTTTTAATACTAACTTCAGTATGTAAAATTATTTTATTCTTTTAATTGTCTCCAATCTGCCGTGTAGTGGCGGTCAAGAATATCCACTACCCCATATCCTCCCGTGGGTGTCGTAAAAGGCGACAAAGGGAAACAGCCAGGAGATGGGCAGCAGCATCTTCCTGATAATAGCCAAATTACAATAAAAAAACTGCGGTTGCCAACCCGCTCGCCAAGCGTGGCAACTATGGCAAATACCCCCCAATGATGAGAGCAACAAAAAAACGGCCCCCAGTCCCCGGCGGCCCCGCTATTCCTGGCTACGGTGGCGACCATGGTAACGGCGGGGCAGGGGGTGCTAAGAATCTCCGGTGGAGGTTCGGTTGCCACCTTAGACGACTCGACCTGGCAACGTACAACGCACGCACCCTGAGGACTGACGAGAAGATCGTGGAGCTGGAAGAAGAGATAGACAAGTTGCGCTGGCATATTATAGGATTATCTGAAGTCCGAAGAGAGGGGGAGGACACGGTAATCCTCGAATCCGGCAACTTGCTCTATCACCGGGAGGGCGACCATCTGTCCCAAGGAGGTGTCGGATTTATCGTCCACAAGTCTCTCGTTAACAACGTTGTAAAAATCGGGAGTGTGTCGACGAGGGTTGCGTACCTTATACTCAGAATCACCAAACGGTATTCGCTGAAGGTCATACAGGTTTACGCACCAACCTCGGCACACCCCGATGAGGAGGTGGAGGAAATGTATGAGGATATCTCTAGAGCCATGCATTCCTCCAAAACCCAATATACGGTGTTAATGGGAGACTTCAATGCAAAACTAGGCACAAGAGAGAACGGTGAGCTGAAAGTAGGGAAATTTGGAATAGGGCAACGGAACCCAAGGGGCCAGCAGCTGGCCGACTTCATGGAGAAAGCGGGACTCTTTATGATGAACTCTTTCTTCCAGAAGCGGCCCCACAGGAAGTGGACCTGGTCGAGCCCCGACGGTTCCACAAAAAATGAGATTGACTTCATTATGACGACCAGACGACAACTGTTCAGTGATGTCTCAGTGATCGCGAGGGTGAAAACTGGTAGCGATCACCGAATGGTTAGAGGCACACTGAACCTAAACGTTAAGTTGGAGAGGTCTCGTCTAATGAAGTCAACGCTCCGTCCCCCTCGTGCTCTGTTTCAAAGTCCCGAAACCTTTCAGCTCGAGTTACAAAACCGTTTTCAGTGCCTAGAAGACTGCAATGAAGTGGACGATATGAATGACAAGCTCGTGGAAACTGTCCATGCGGTTGGAGCTAAGTTCTGCAAGACCCGCCGCAGAAGAACACAAAAACTCTCCGATCACACTCTTAATCTCATGGCTGTTAGACGGGAGATGAAGCTACATTCTTCAACAGACTTGACAGCATACAGGCATCTGAACAGACAGATCTCCAAATGCATGCGGCGGGACCTACGCAACTTCAATACAGCTCGTATTGAAGAAGCGATCGAGCGGAACCAAGGCTCCAAAGTCTTTGCCAGAGATCTGTCTGCCAGAAAGAGCCAACTGTCAAAGCTGAAGACGGAATGTGGCAGCATCGTTTCCGGGACACCTGAGATTTTGAGTGAGATTGAGAGGTTCTATGGGCAGCTGTACACATCATCGTTGGAGCCACACGCAAGTGTGAGTAACGATCCAAGAGCGAGTCTCATCCGACACTATTCCGAAGATATCCCGGATGTCAGTCTGAGCGAGATTAGGATGGCTCTCCAGCACCTTAGAAACGGTAAGGCCCCAGGCGAGGATGGAATTACAGCGGAGCTTCTGAAAGCGGGTGGAAGACCGGTACTTGAAGTCCTTCAGAAGCTCTTTAATTCCGTCCTCCATGGTGGCATTACACCGGAGGCGTGAAGCAGAAGTGCGGTGGTCTTGTTCTTCAAGAAAGGTGACAACGCTCTCTTGAAGAACTACAGACCGATTTCCCTTCTGAGCCGCGTCTACGTGCTGTTTTCGAGAGTCATTACGAATCGTCTCGCGCGCAGACTTGACGACTTCCAGCCTCCCGAACAAGCCGGTTTCCGAAAGGGCTTTAGCACCATAGACCACATACATACCCTTCGGCAAGTTGTACAGAAGTCCGAAGAGTACAATTTGCCACTATGTCTGGCGTATGTGGACTATGAGAAAGCCTTTGATTCCGTCGAAATTTGGGCGGTGCTGCAGTCCCTTCAGCGGTGCCAAGTTGACTGTCGGTATATCGAAGTGTTGAAGTGCTTGTACAGTAGGGCTACGATGGCTATCCGAGTACAGAACCAGAGTACGAAACCTATCCAATTGCAGAGAGGTGTAAGACAGGGTGACGTCATATCCCCGAAACTCTTCACCGCTGCATTGGAAGACGTTTTCAAGCTTCTGGACTGAAAAGGATACGGTATCAACATCAATGGCGAGTACATCACTCACCTTCGATTTGCCGACGATATAGTCCTTATGGCAGAATCGCTGGAGGACCTAAGCACTATGCTCAATGACCTCAATAGTGTTTCCCAACGGATAGGTCTTAAGATGAACATGGACAAAACTAAGATCATGTTTAATGTCCATGTCACACCTATGCCGATAGTTGTTGGGAACACTAAGCTCGAAGTTGTTGACGAGTATGTTTACCTGGGACAAATAGTCCGACTGGGTAAGTCCAACTTCGACCGAGAGGTCAATCGACGGATTCAACTCGGCTGGGCAGCGTTCGGGAAGCTACGACACATCTTCGCGTCAGACATACCTCAAAACCTTAAAACGAAATTGTACAACCAGTGCGTGTTGCCAGTGATGACTTACGGAACTGAGACGAGGTCCTTCACTGCTGGCCGTATGAGGAAGCTCAAGGTCGCTCAGCGAGCTATGGAGAGGGCTATGCTCGGAGTTTCTCTGCGTGATAAACTTAGGAATGAGGATATCCGCAGTAGAACCAGAGTGACCGACATAGCCCAACGGATTAGTAAGCTGAAGTGGCAGTGGGCCGGCCATATAGCTCGAAGAACCGACAACCGATGGGGAAGAAAGGTTCTCGAGTGGCAGCCTCGTACCGGTAGGCGAAGTGTAGGGCGTCCCCCCACGAGATGGAGTGACGACCTGGTAAGACATGCAGGAAGTCGATGGATGCAGGTGGCTCAGGACCGTGTTTTGTGGCATTCTTTGGGGGAGGCCTATGTTCAGCAGTGGACTTGTGAAGGGCTGTAATGATGATGATGATGATGAATTGTCTCCAATAAAGTTAATTTTTCATTTGAAGCACAGTTTAACAGAATTGGTTCTAATCAAATTCCTGCTAAGAGGTGTGTTGCTGGAAACACTTGTCAAATCTATATTTATATAAAAGATTGCAAATATGTTAAATTATAATTCTAAACGGTACGAAAATAGGACTGTAAAGGTCTTTTTATAGTTTCCAGGAAAGCAATATAATATTGATAATAGACAACAATAAAAAACTATAAAAGCAACGTTTTAATATAGAAATATAAATCTTTTAAAAAAAGTTGCAATACTGCACATCCACCCCATTTCTCCATAATAAAGTTTGTTAATTTGGGTTGGCAGCTTAACTAGCTTTTTAATTCTTAGAAGCCAAAGTTACAGGAAGTGGAACCCATATCACGCCATATTCACCAGGGAAAACTGCAGATACCTAGACCATATAGACCAAGTACCTCTTGGTAGATTGCAGTTCATAATATCTTTTAAAAGGCTTGAATTGACAAGAGCCTCCCCTTCATAAAGAAAAGTAGTTAATGCTTCTTCATTCGACGTTATTTCATTAGTAATCTTAAAGCTGATTTCACCAAGCGCTCAAAAAATCCTCCCATGAACAAAGCGGATGGTGGTATGATTTTCCAATGAATTTGTTCACTGGTTGCAAAGTCAGATATAGTCTGTAAAATGCCTTGAGCTGTCTGCTTATTCCAACGAAGGCTGTACATTTGTCTGAATAAGCCTTACTGCTGTTTCTCGTCTAGATATGAAATTGTATAAGGCCATAATAGTAGAGTCTGTAGAAAGAAAGAGTATACTATTTCTAAGTGAACAGCTGTTATAGTAAGGCAAGTAAATATAGAGCTTAACTCTTCTACTTCCGACTGTATTTATAATAGGTTCAAAATAGTCTAAGATTTTGCAAAACGATCCCTTTGCGGGAGACCAGAGACTGTTCAAATTTGTACGAAGTAAATATATAAAAGCTATTATAAAAGGTACACTACTTTGATGCAGTTTAAATCAACAAATGAATCAATCATCAGACTTAAATGCTCGAACCGGCGACAAGGAGTAGCATCTAGGTAATAAATGGATATATATCAAATCCTTGTACCATGCCATGGACGAGGCCGATGCCTACAAATAAACATTTAAGAGCTGTTAATATTTAATTAACCTTGAGAGCTGTGATTGGTCAGGGGCTCAGCGCTCGCCACAATTTCAGAATGCGCGAGTAACCCCAGCTTCAGTCGCGCCGGCACCAAAGAAAATGCTCAT